TTTTTTTTAAAGATTTATTTATTTATTTGAGAGAGAGCATGAGAGGGGGAGGGTCAGAGGGAGAAGCAGACTCCCTGCTGAGCAGGGAGCCTGATGTGGGACTCGATCCTGGAACTCCAGGATCATGACCTGAGCTGAAGGCAGTCACTTAACCAACTGAGCTACCCAGGCACCCCTTATTTTATATTCTATAAAGAGTTCTAGCAAATGAGTGACATGAATATAAAAGATAAAAGTAGGCAATTCACAGAAGTGACATAAAAACAGTTCCATGCAGGATGCCTGGGTGGCTCAGTGGTTAAGCATCTGCCTTCTGCTCAGATCATGATCCCAGGGTCCTCGGATCGAGTCCCGCATTGGGCTCCTTGCTCAGCAAGGGAGCCTGCCTCTCCCTCTGCCTGCAGCTTCCCTTGCTTATGCTCTCCCTCCCTCTCTCTCTCTCTGACAAATAGGTAAATAAAATGCTTTTTTTAAAAGATTTGATTAGATTAAGATCTAAGGTTTTAAGATTTGACTATCACTGGGTTGTTTTGTTTTTTAAGATTTGATTATTTCTGGATGTTTTAATTTTTTCATTTTGCTTATTTATGGTTTACTGTTTTTCTGTAATGAATGTCCATTTCTTTTATAATAATTTTAAAAACCGGTAATTACGTGAAAATAAAAGGATAGAAGTAAAGGCATTAATAAATTCTGAATTCACTGGAATTAAACTGTAACTGATCATTAATAACTAAACAAATCATAAAGTGATAGCATTTACCTTGAATTAATTAGATTTAGTTTTTCCGCCATCAGAAGTAATAAGGCCTAGAATAAAAAGTGACTTGAGTTATAGAAAATAAAGTCACAATGCAGGCATTACCTGTCTTTGAAATGTGAAATCTGTACCTGTTATGTGTTTATATGTGTGGGGCCTAGAAAACATTTGGAAGGATATCCACTAAATTTAAAAGTGGTCCCCTTCAGCAGGGTGGGATTAGAGGAGGAAGGAAGATAAGTTTTTCTTGACGCTACTCTGTATTGTTTGACTTATTGGAACAAGCATGCAAAAATCTAAGTATCTTTAAAAAGCATATTATGAATATTTACAAGTATGAACAGTATCTATGGTATGGTGAGAAAAAAGATCAGAATGCAAAATATACCAGATCATGTATCTACATATGAGAAAGGCCTGGGTGGGAATACTCTATCATGAAAATAGTTGTTCATTTATTAGTTCATTTATTCCACAAATATTTGCTGAGCACCTACTAAGGGTTAGGCACTGGGATATAGCAAGGAATCAAGTAGCCAAATATGGCTCCCCTCATGGAATTTATATTCTAGCAAGGGTAGACAGACAATAAGTAGTAAGCACAGTAAATATGTTAGTTGGTAAGTGAGTGCTATGGAAAAACTGGAGCTGATTAAGATAGACTAGCACTGCTGTGAGTGAGAAGGAGGGTTACATGGGTTGGTCAGGGAAGGCCTGACTGAGGTGACATTTGAGAAAAGGTTTGAAAGAGGTGAGGGAGTGAATTAGGCAAATATCTAGAAGAGCTTTATAAGCAGAGGGGACAGCCAGTGCCAACGCTCTGAGATGGGTTCAAGGAAAACCAACGAAGGCAGTGTGGCTGAGTCAGAGTAAGCAGAGGGACAGCAAGTCAGAGATAAGCAGGGCAGTTAGTTGGTGTTGGGCTCTGTAAGGAATTTGGCTTTTTACTCCAAGTAAACTGGGCAACCACTGTGTGGTTTTAAGTGGAGAAATGCCAGGATCCCTTTGGCTGTTGTATGGAGATTAGGCTTTTGGGGGAGGGGCAGTATAGCAGAGACCTGGTTGTTTGGGTGAGGGATGGAGGTTGCTGTGGGGATGCTGTGGTGTTGGATACTAGATATAGTTTGAATGCAGAGTCAAAATTTCCCAATTGGGCAGAGGATGTGAGAGAAGTGTATGAGGATGGCTCTTAAGGTTTAGGCCTGAGTGAACGAAGTGGAGTTGCCATTAATTCAGATGAGAAAGAGAGCTGGATGGAAGTTTGAGCTGGGGAAAGAACTTATTTGTGGACCTGTTATGTCTGAGTGTAATAGCAATATAAATTGTTTTAAGAATGTTTCTAATATTATGATGACATCTTTCCAAAGAAATCATTTCAAGACTCTTGATTCAGCAATTATTACGTTCCCAGTACTGAAAATATGCATTAGTCACTTGCTAGTAATCTGGAGAAATCATGGGAACAGAAGATATGCCAGAAGACTGGAGCCTAGGTTCCAGTTTTCAAAAACGGGGAAAAAACCGAGGGCTGCAAATCCATCCACAGTCCTGGCAATATTCTGGAACTTGTGAACTCCAAAAATCAGTTATAGCTCCTCTTGGATTCAGCTTGGAGTTGAGCAAGTCAGACCAATATATGTAGTAGGAAAAACCCAGGCTTTCCTTTCATGTCTTCTTTCCTATTCTAGAGAACTCTTCACTTCTGATAACTTGACACCAAATATGTGGGTTTTTCCCCCCCAACCTAGCAATTTTCTGACACCAGCTGGTTATCCCACAATTTAACTCAATTCTGACACTATCTACCTGGAGATAGCTAGCATCAGATCCCCCAGTTCGAGACTGACCACACTTCAGATACCAATCATATGTAGCAGGTCCCCAAGTTACCCACAACTTCTATCTGTCTTGGCTCCTCCCCTTGGATTTGATTATTTGCTAGAGCAGCTCACAGAACTCAGGAAAGCACTTGTTTACACTCACCGATTTATTAAAGGATAAAGGATACAGATGAACAGCCAGATGAAGAGATACAATAGGGTAGGGTATGGGAGGGTGCCAAGTTCAAGAGCTTGGAACCAATGCAACCACAGTCAATGACCAAATATTAGAACAGAAGATGCTTCTAGTGCTCATATCACTCAGGAAATTCCAAGGGTTTTAGGAACTTTGAGCCAGGAATGAAATGAAGACCAAATATACATATTCCTTCTTCTAAATCATAACATCTCATAAGGTAGGCGAGAAGACTGAAACCTAGGTTATCATTTTCAGAAAGGAGGTAAAAACAGAGGCTGCCAGTCCGTTCATAGTCTTGGCAAGATTCTAGGACATGTCATTAAGGGGAGGACATAGGAACTCCAAAAATGAGTAGTAGCTCCTCTTGGATTCAAGTTGCACTCAAAAGCAAGTCAGGCCAATACATTAAAAAAAAAAAAAAAAAAAGCAACCGGGGCCATTTTGGGACTTGCAAGTCCACTGCAGGAGTGGAAAGGTTTCTTCAGAGAGAGGTCTCAGGTGGAACGCGAGAGCGGCAGTACTGGGTAGTGTTACAGACTGGGAGGCTGGAGGCCGTCTCTACCACCCTCCAGTCCTGTAACGGCAGGCTGACTCTGCTGTTCAGGGGGTGGTAACCAAGTATTAATACTGCGCGTATTAATACTTGTAAAGTGCTTCGCACAGCGTGTACAACGTGTACAGAAGGCGCGGGGCGGGGGAGGGCATTCATTCTAGAGCACTCTTACCCTTTCCTTTCTCTTTTCTGACCCAAGGAAACGTCCTGCCAGGACGAGAGAAGCAGCGAGAAAAAGTGAGCGATGAACAAAAAACTTTCCTTTGGTTCTGCTACATAGCTGTCGACACAGGAACGGTTAACACAGGCCTCGGTGCTTTCCGAATTGTGTCTCGCCGGGAGGACCCACAACCTGAGAGCGGAGCTGCCTGTGTGCGCGGGCAGCACCGGGTCCGCAGGCGGTTGCTAGGCGATCGGAGGAGGGCCGGGGGCCAACCTACCCTACCCCCTTCCCGCCCACGTCCCACCCCGCCAGGCCGGCCAAGCGTCAACACCCGCGACCCGCCGAGGCGCCGCGACGCATGCGCTCTTCCCACCGCGCGGAGCGAAGTGCCGCGCGCTCCCACTCGCCGCCGTACTCTGCCCCGCCCCTTCTTGTACTCTCGCCCCAAGCTCAGTTCTCTTCCAGACCCGGTCCTGCCCACACCGCGTCTTCAGTCTTGTGAACAGTGCAGACCCACGTCCCGCGCTCCCGTGGTGGCGGTGGTGATGGGCGGGAGGGGGTGGAGCGGGGTGGGGTGGAAGAATGAGGCGGGATGAAGGGAGGTGGCAGCTGCCGCGGACTCACTTCCGGAGCACGGGCGGAAGTGGCTGCGGTGGATGGGGGCGGGGGAGGAGAGGAGCGTGAGGGGAGGGCCCGGCCGCCGGGGGTCGAGGGGGTGGGGCCTGGGCCGCTGGTCGGGACCCAACCTGAGGCCTGGACTCCGATCTGGGAGGGCCACGGCTTCTGAGACCAGGCGGGCGGGATCCAGGTAACGACCCAGCGCAGATGGGGTGAGGGTCGTCCAGGCGGTAGAGGGGTGGGGGTCACAGTCTAGAGTCTAGGGAGGGTCGCAGTGTCACTCCCTTTCCCCGTGAACACGGAGCACGGGGTTCGGAGGAGAAGGGTGGGAGGAGTTAAACTTGGGGGGGGGTCATGTGAACGCCACGCCCCTACAGGAAGGAAGGGTGGGTGGGGGTGTGTGTGTGAGGGGGTGTGTGTGTGTGTGTGTAAACTTAGAAGAGAGGGGGCGACCGGAGTGGGCTTCCCAACTGAGAAATTGGAACACTCTGCAGCTGGCAGGACTCAGGCCTCTTCTAGGAGAGTGTTCTCAGTGGCCCTGGGAAGGAGTTTGAGATGAGATTAGGAATTCCATCCCTGGCACAGTTTTGGAAGCAGAGGGGGAGGTGAGGGTGAAGGGAAAGGAGCAAAGAATGTATGTGGAAGGTGCCAGCATCTAGGTCTGGAATGGATTTAGTTCATTTTGGGAGAGCTGACCCGGCGATTAAAACACTCAACACTCTTAAGAAGCTTGGGAGATGTAGGAGATTAGTTGTGTAGCAATAAGACAGGAGGGAGAAGGAAGAAGGATGTTCTTTTCTGTGTTTCTTAGAAGACAGTCTCCATTGATGATAGAGCAGGGTAAAGGAATCTAATTTTTTTTAGGTAAGGGATCTGGTCTTAGGAATCCATTTGGGTATATAATAGATTAGAAAGTGTCGTAATGTTTAAATATTCCACAGGTTAACACTGAAATCAGCCTTCTGGCCATGCCGGTTCTATGGCCTGTTTCTTCTCATGAACCCCAGCAGAAGACAGACCGGCCAGTCCTCACAGTGGATGACTTCCCTTCCTTGAGCAAGAGATGGGATAGAACCTGGGATCTGCCCAACACCAGACTCTGGGCTTAATAAGCCAGCTGAATGAAGGAATGTAACAGACCCCTGGGAGGGACACTGAACCCTGCAGTGGGGGGGGAGGGGCGTGGACATACCCCTTCCCCCCCAGACTCCTCCCCCTCAGTCCACTCAGCCATGGACTTTGGACCTGGATAAGAGGAGAGAAGCTGCACTTTGTTTGGTGTATCTGATTTGGGATTCTAAGTTTTGGAAATGGAGTGCTGGAAGGGGGTTTGATGATCTCCAGGGGAGCAGCTGAGAGAAGAAAGGTAAGGTTCCTGTCTCACTTCCCACTGGGTGTCTTGCTGCTTTTGTGCAGAAAATGTTGAGTGGGGCAAATCTGGGGACGCTGCCATTTAGGAAGTGCCTGATGAGAACCCTTACCCTGATGGGTACACAGGAAGCTTCACCTCTGTTTCACTCTCTTACTAGAGTGCAGACTTGTTCCCAGCCTATCTTTACCCAGGCAGAAGGAGTACCTTGCAAGGGCTGTGTGCAATGCAATTGTGAAGTTAGGCCTAGGAGAACATGAAAAGAATTAGGCTTCTGAGGAGAGGTTAGATTAGAAATTAGATTATTTATAAGGGCCAACACTGAGTCAACACATTTTGGGCTAAGTAATACTCTAGGATGGATTACCTAGGCAGAGGCAGGCTGCTGTGTTTTGGGGGAACTAACTGAATAGAACTGCCTTGGGGGAGGGTAGAAGATGGTCTAGATAACTTCCTAAATTGTCTCTCTTCCTCCTCCCTCTAAAGGGGGTTTAAGTCATGAAGCCTTATGCAGATAGCAGAGGAACAGAATACAGGTTTGAGATCAGTTGAATTTTTGTTCTAGCTCTGACTTTCTTAGTGTGCAACCCTAGATATATGGGTTAAGCTCTGCCATGTTCTGTTCACCTGTAAGATGGGGATAACTGACTTTACAGGTCCCTCACAGGTTGTTACAGGAAGCAAATGAAATGATAGATTTTGAAAAGTATCCAGGGCCGTGTCCATGGAAAACAGTACCATTGACATTGCTTGATAATGCTTGTATAATTAGTACATCCAAAAAAACTCTGAATTAGGAGTTCTTTTATTGAATTAGTGTATTGGCAAAAGCCTTGGATGTCCTCAATTAAAAGCCTGCCCTGAATTTGTTTCATCTTGTTTCTGTTAAACAATGCTTGGGACCATCAAATGGTGGAAAAGGTGCATGGGTCCTAGGAGAACTTAGATTGAGGGATTCTGGTCCTCAGGGCTCTCCACACTTGTGATAAGTATGCCTCTTTGGGGTAGCAGATTAAAGAGGGGTGGAGGAAAGTATAAGTCTCAAGGGCCAAGTGTGTGGTTAGGAGACGGAGCTCCATTTCTTGGAGTAAATGCTAGGCCTTTTCTTCCTGTGCCATATCCTGGTATTCTCTCCTGCTCTTGAACATGACAGTTTTTTTTGGACTGCCATCTCTTAGCCCTTTTTATTTTTGCAGGCTCTCTTTCCAAAGACCTGTTCATAGTTACCTTCTCACCTCCTTCCTGCTCCTTCCTTGAACTCCAGTTTACCTATGCCAAGATACCTGCTTTTCTCAGTGACAACAAACAGAAAGGAGATGTGTTGGGAATTTTGATAGACAGTGGGGTATGGTGGCCTGGGGGCACAGGGCAGAAAGCTTGGCTTCTAGCATCTTCTTGCCTTTTACTAGCTGTGTAACACCTGGAGCTCACATTCATTGGGGTTGGCAGCAATAACTAAGGTCATTTGCAAGCTGAAAATCGTATATTTATGACTTGGTTTCTTTTCTCCCCCTCCTTCACCAGCCCAGTGGTGAGCTGTTCCTTCTCTGATCTGAGGCTGGCTTGGGGCAGTACCTTTCAGCCCAGGCTTCTACTTTAGAAGGTATAGATTTCAGGGTGGCATGTCACTTCCCCCAGCTTAGCCCAGCAAATTCCTGGTGCCAGTCCTTGCGAGGGATATCTGGCCCCAGAATGCGTCTGCAGCCCTCACCTTACGCGGAAGGCCTGTGAGTGCACAGAGCTGTGCTATATTTATATGGCACTTATGTTACGTGAAGTGTCCAGGCTGCTGGGTCACTTTTCTGTCACCACACTGTTGTAAGGAAGAGAGAGCAGGGATTATTTCCCCAGTTTGATATGTAAGGGGAAGCTACAGAAGCCTTGAGCACAAAGGGCTTGCCTAAGTGTGGAGAGGCAGATACTGTAATCGCCTGCCCAGTGCTGGGCCTGCCCAGCATCTGACCTGATGAGGGCCATCTGCATTCTGCTGCAAACCTTCAGGGAGGGGAATTCAGTGCCCTGTCAGACAGCCTCTCTGGTAAGACCTTTCCTCCCTAGACTGAACCAGAATTCCTCTCCCCTGTCATTTTCACCGAAAGTACTAGTCCTGTGCTCTGCCTGACCCTGTCACAAGATAGCTTTCTCAAGACAGTCATCGGCCTTCTCACAGGGGTACCAGGATCTCAGACCACTTAGCCAGGACCAGTGGTAGACTTAACCAAAAGCTGTGGATGTGTTTTAACTGAATTTATTTATACCATTCTGTCATACAAGAGGAATTGTACGTGGCTAACCAAAAGTCTCATTTCACAGACATTGCTCACTGGTCCTTGTATTAATCTTTTCTCCTTTCTTTGATCTTGATGAGCTGTGTTTCTGGGTCTGCAAGGGGAGTGGGGATGTTGGGAGAATGGGAGAGGGAAAAATAGACACAACATTGATTTAAAACTTTGATTTTACTTCTTCCAGCCAAGATCTGTCTTTTAAGTTCAGAGCATGAATTTTTTCTAAATTGTAAAAAAGTTCAGGGTATCTTAGGTATGGTTTATGGGAAGGCAATTGGAACAATTTTCACTTCCTTCTTATTTTTCCAGTCCTCTTTTGGAGGTGGTGGGGGTGGGCAGGATACAGTATTTTCACTTCTAATTCTCTCTTATCTTGTGATCAGATCTTCCTATTTCTTCCATTTTCATATATTCCAATTTCAGTTTCATTCCCAGAATTCAGGTACCTAGCTCCTTGTTTCTGTCCTTCTATCCCCCTTCTCCCCTCCATAACACCTCCTCATGAAATCTCTATCAAAAGCCCAGGGCCTCTTTTCCCAGGTCAATGTGGCACCTATCACCCTGGCTTCTTGCCTCTCAGACCAAATGTTTTCTCTTGTTTCCATCCAAGAATTCAGCCCAAACCAGTTCTCTAACCAGGCTCTTTCTACTTGGGACAGTCCTTTTGCAGCTGGGGAATTTCTACCCTTAGATCTTCCTGTGAGGGGCGCCTGGGTAGCTCAGTTGGTTAAGCGACTGCCTTGGGCTGGGGTCATGATCCTGGAGTCCCAGATTGAGTCCCATATCGGGCTCCTTGCTCAGCGGGGAGTCTGCTTCTCCCTCTGACCCTCTTCCCTCTCGTGTCTCTATCTCTCATTCTCTCTCTCAAATAAATAAAATCTTAAAAAAAAAAAAAAGATCTTCCTGTGAGCCTTGGAATTTCAACAAAGGATTGTAGTCGTTGGATGTTGAGTTCTGGTGCACAAACAGTTCCCCATTTTGTCCCTACTGAACTGCCTTCGATAGAGAAGGATTATTATTAGAGGTGGGAATGTGACATCTCATGGGCTGGTTGGTCTGCCCCACTTTTCAGCATCCTACCATGTCCTTTGTCCTGGAGGGTGATTTTAGCTTCTGATATCTTGTATCTACAAACCAGTATTTCCCAGCTTTTTACACTTCTCGGAATTACCATTTTCCTTCTTACTTTGGCATGGAGTGTGAGTGTGTAGGCCTCCCATATCCCCCAACTCCCTTCGTAAGGAAAGCATAAAGAGAGGGCAGAGATGCAGAGACAGTGGCTACTGGCTGGCATATGGGCATGGGCTTGCATTTCCTGCCATGGTCCATGAAGTCAGCTCAGCTGGAAACCTTGGAGACACACACACACACACACACACACACACACACACACACACACCTCCAGCCTCAGTGAGGTGTCAGCTCTTTTCTCACTCTGCTCCTTCAGGGCTAGGCTCCAGCTGCTTCTGCCAGAACTTCCCTGCTGCCCCACTGTGCACCTGTCATGTTGGACACACAGCCATCTGAGAGCATTTGCACTCAAGGGTGTGTAAGTGGAAGGAATGAGTGCAGAAATGCCTGGGTCTAAAATCTGGCCATACCCCTCACTAAGTCTTGGGACCTTCAGCCAGTTGGCACTTACTCTGAGATTCACGCTCCTGATCTGTAGAATGGGATGATAATGCACACTCTGCAGAGCTGCTGGGAGGGTTCTGCATGTGGAGGCCTCTGTGCAATTGGTTTATTTCCTTAGCCCCAGGCAGGGGGGGCCTTTAGGGCATGCCCTGCCTTTTTGTGTCTCTAGAATCCTTCATAATTCCTGGTTTCATGTAGAAACAAGTTAGTGAGCGAAATCAGTCAGTAAGCACACACTGCTAAGTTCCTGCCTGCTGTGTGGAACACAGGAGGGAAGTGGATTGGGGGAGGGCGTCGTGCTTGTACAGCGTGTCCTCATCACTTTGGTAGGGCTGGCCCTAGACTGGGTGTGCATGAGTAGCCAGTAGTTCTCAGTTCCCCACCCTCACTTCCCAGGATCAGACACAGACATTAAGGCTTTTCCAGGGGGCTCCCTCACCCCCTTTCACAGGGCTACCACATCATCCTTTATTCCTTAGGTCTCATAGTTCTTACCCCAGGGACAAGTCTGTCCTCTGCCCCTGTACTCAGAGTGAACAGCTCTCATTACCCACCTCGAAAGAAAAAAACAAAAAAAGAAAGTATTTAAAAAAGAAAAAGAACAACAGCTGGCCCCCTTCTGCTTTTGGCAGCAGGTGTTTCCTCTCTGGCTTCTTTTTTGGCACCTTGGTTCTTGTTCTCACATCCCTGCACCCTGTGGCCCCTCTGTTGCCCCAACTCCTCCCTCCCGGAAGCTAGAGTTTAGCAGGTTGATGAGCGCTGTCCCCAGACCTTGGCGTTGGATTTGTTGGACGCACCATCTGGCTGCCCCGCCTACCTCAGGCAGGGCTCTCCCCATCAACTCTATGAGGCTCCGGGCTCTGGGGCTAGGGAGGGCAAGACTCCCGAAGTCTCGACTGGACCGGGTTGAGGGGTCGGGATTGTGAGCAGGGAAGGGCCCAGTGTAACAGCTGTCAACACAGCGCTCCTGAAGTTCAGGACCCCGGAAAACTTGGGATGTCCGGACGGCGGGTAATTGCCGCGTCGGGCGGAGGAGGCGGGCCGGGGAAGCAGGGCCCTCGGCGAGTGCGGGCGGCCAGTCC